CAAATATTATTCTGGTGCCGTTATTTTTAACACCTCGACACGTGTTTCGATCACCAAGTGATCATCTTCAAAGAGGAAGATTAAAACAGTTTCAATCTTCCTTTTTGAAGATGAACTGATTACTAAATCGTTATTTTTAACACCTCGACACGTGTTTCGATCACCAAGTGATCATCTTCAAAGAGGATCACTTGGTGATCTAAACACGTGTCGAGGTGTTAAAAATAACGATTTAGTGTTGGGAAAAAACTCCAGTAACATTTATTTATGTTTATGTTTCTTTCCAAAACAGAAAAATATGTATTCTGCATACTTTCTCTGCAGGAACGACTGTACCAATTTCGGCCCCACCATTGACAATAATTTGTCAAATCAAGATCAATAAACGTATATCCAACAGACGACTGCGGTAGACTGAGGTGTTGAAGTCACTATCCTGGCAAGCCATAATGAACCCCTCAGTTTCCAACTCCAGCTCACTCGATCTGAGGAAAGCTAAGGTTAGGTGCTTTGAAAAGCCCAGATCTTCGATGCTATTGACGAAAACCCCAAGCATTGGCTCATTCTTGTGTTGTTGGCTTCCAAATCGTTGACAGAGTTGTGATCACCTCGTTGAGCGTCAAAAACTAGACACAGTTCATCAGCCACCCAGGCAGCTGCCCCAAATTCTTGCTCTGTCATGGTCGCGGACTAGGCAGAGAAGGGGGTCCAAACTCCTGATGATTTTACAGGCTCCATCCAGTACCATTCTGTCATGCAGACACTTCGAATTCCATTATCAGGGAAAGTACAATCGTGGAACTGATGATTTAGGATCATTTTCAGGTCTTCAAGTCGAGTTGATAAAACTTCTCTCGAGTCTATTTCAGTACTCCAAACGAGTATAATGAGACTGGAATGGCAAGAATATTCATAGCAGCAAATTTGTTTTTCCCGACAGTTCCGATTACCACATCTGTCGGAGTTTGTGCTAATACTGGCCGAGGAGGAAGCTCCTCACTGCTTTTTGTGAGTGGTGTTGTTGGTTGTTGGTGCAGTGCAGATGGTCCAGGGTGCTTCCATCTTGCTCATCCTCTCCGTAATCCTCGCATCATCTTCTTTTGAGATCGACCGTTGAACATTCGTCTATCCCGAATTTCCCACCAATAGCATGCGTATATTCTTCCACCGCCGCTAAAAAACTAATGGAGATCCTTTTCTCGAGAGGCATAAAGTTAAAGATCATCCATATAAAATAGATGAGTGACCTTATGCCTCCGGTTTCCAGAGGTGCCACAATTATATCCTCGAGTATTCATCAAACTATGATGAGAACATCCTGACTTCGAAGCTTATTGCTGCATTGTGGACGTTGAGGACCTATTGCTGCTCGGTAGCTAGACCAGTTTTTCACCAATGGCTCGGTAACTCTGGTTTGATTTGGATCATTTTGCTGGCACAACTCACCAAATACCTTAAATATAAATTGACCATTCCAATTTATTTTTCACCCACTTTTACACTTCTTAGACCTATTAAATACAAAGGGTACACCGACACTATTAGCCACTATTTCCTATGCGGTGACGTAAGTATTCATTGGCTTCATTTCAATACTTTGTGTGGATGTACTGAGGGTATAGAAAGTTTCAATTCTCATATTTCATGAGAGTATATTCTATTTCATCACTCCCAAATGTAACACCATCTATCGTGCATAATAAGTGCAATGGATCACGCTTATGAAGATCATATCTTCCTCTCAACTATATCGACCTAATTATTTCCAATTTCAGATCTGAACGGAAGAGAATCGAAGAGACTGAACCAAAGCGACTCTCTCCGTTTTCAGAGATGTCTCGAAGAGATGAAGGTGACGGTCGCAGTATAGCAGACTCAACTTCTTCGAGCTACAAAAACAATCATTTCCTGGCATATCTAGCTGCCAACAAACCAAACGCCAAGATGAAGACGGTCCCTGCTCTCAGAAGAAGCGTGCCCAATCCAAATCTGAGTTGATAAAAGTAGGAAAACACTGGAGATACTAGAATTTTCCTTGTTCACTTTTCCTATCTTTACACTGTGCTTTTGAGTGCCAGAAAAGTGGATCAGAAGATGAATTGACGTTTGATGGAGTATACCACAGAGGCCTTCTCCACCTTATAGTTCACAAGTAGTTGTTGCATCAGTCGGGAGTGTATTATTTTTTTTGTATATTTCAACTATTTATTGTCTTCCAATGGAGTCTGAATGATCTGTTTGTAATTGCCAATTCTCAAATAAAATATTTTTATAATGAGTGAGTCTTTGTCATTAACATTATTTTTTTCATCTTTCCATGTTTCAATATGCGTTCCAACCGAATTCAAATACTCAGTCAGCAGAGATAGACCTGATGAATATTGTTTATAGATACAGTAAACCATGAAACTTCACTAAACATACAACTCAGGAGAAAAATCATATTATAATTTTGAAGGAGATGAAGTATTTGCAACGTACGGTGTTCCACACGGTTGAGTTTTAGCCCCAGTTCTCTATTCATTTTATGATCATAAATATAGCGGCAGCCATGAAAACGACCCCAACTGCAGCACTTGAGAACCTACTCGGACTTCCACCATTGCACATCTACATTCAAATAGAAGCTCGACTGGTGACACACAGGCTAATGCAGGGTGAAATAATTATTGGTGGTTAAAACCATCCGAATCCTTTAGAAAACAACTGAGAGTGATATATTAGGAAGTTGCCTGAGCTTTCAGGTTATTTTAAAAAAATAAATACCAAAAAATTCGTTTAGGATTGGGTTGCACCTAATAATACTATGCCAGTTTCGAGACGGAATTCCACCAATCGGACAAAACAGCAACTATGTAGATTTCGACGAAACAAAAACCTGAATTGTCAAAATGAGGAACATTTTGGAAACTGTGTTCCGAGCGACTGTTTTTATTCGGTATCAAGATCTTGCTATCCAAATTATTACTTTTAAACAGTGAATTGTGAATTTTATATAGCCCGGAGTTACCAGCTCTAAAATTTCTACAACAAAGCAGATTGATTGATTGCGTTATTTATATTTAAGGTATTTTTAACTTATCTCATTTGAGTTATTTAGTTATTCTCAGGGGTCTCCCAATCTGGGTTTTACAGTTGATCCTCTACTGTATGGGTCTTTTCTAATCTAGTTATCCTCATAAAATATAATATTCACGAATATTTTTACTCAAGCAACCCGTATATTTAGGCCTATTTCCATGTGAATATTGTAAACTAGAAATAGCTAGATATTCAATTCCTTTATTGATATTTGGACCTTCATTTTGAGAGTTACCCGCTATTGTTACCTTTTCCTATCTATTTTAATTCAAACATCTTGTAATGTCTCGTAATTTGTTGAACTTACTTTCTGAGAAATTGAGAATTTCAGGTTTCAGTATCTAGATACTTACTGATGAGAACCTGTTTCCAGTCGAAGTCGTAATGGTAAGGATTGTCGTCGATGAATTCTTCTGCGAGTTGTGATAATTCAATATATTCATAATAACATTTCTCCAATTCTTTGTGCGACTCACCCCCCGCATAGGGATCAGGAGGTGGGGCCGGTTTCTCTTTCACCACATCCGGAAACAAAGAAGCTACAGTATCTTGGAAAATCGATTCACCTTCCTTCAATCTGAAACGTATTGAATTTTTACTTGATCGTACCCGAATTCAATATCGTTACCTCTGTTTCTGTTTTCTCTTTTTCCTTTCGTTCTCTTCATCAAGCTTTTGTAGAGGTTTCCTTCTTTTTTCCAACTCTTTGGTATCTAACTGTTTTTTACTAATTATTGTACTTTTTATTCTGGCCTCCTCTTCTATCTGCCTTTGCTCTTTCACCCATTCAACGTATTTGCCTATAACATAAAGTTACTCAAAAATTTCGACA